TGTGTTTTGCAGCTTTAATCTGGGGGCACATTTGTTTATTGGCATACAAATGAACATCTGCATGGAGCTATGCTTGGACGCCATGGTCTCAGCAGCTCCCTAATCGCTTAAAAGCCTGGAGATGCACAGCATGCCAATGAGAAAGCAGGAGAGAGGGAGGCAGCCGCGCCCAGGGCCTCCGTCATGCACTTCTTTATCTGAGATTCACTTTAGCTCAATAGTTCTCTCCCTTCCTCACTTTCTCTTTCCTCCGGGCCAACTGTTTAATTTTCAGCAAGCCAGTTGACTCTTTTATTGACTTGACATTATAAATTGGCATTTTGGTAACCTTCAGTGTTGAAGGAGGACATATTATGAGAAGAAGGAAAACCACAAACGTTATATTCAGTGATATTGTTGAACTTAGATTATTTTGTATAGATACTTGTGTCCAGCCTTCCTTAAAGCTAGCTGTGCTTGCATATGAATGTGTGAGTTAAATGTTAATTTGTTACAAGTTAGAACTGGCAAACACAGGATATCATGATGGCAGCCAGGTCAGACAATTTTGTGACATGTATAACATTAACAATAAAAATTGTTTAAATAAATGTATAAATTAATTAGTTAATTAAATCATTTGAATATGGCCTCATTATTAGTGGAGTTGACCACACGAGGCTAGCTTTAACATGCTTTAAATCCACAACTTGTATTTGTGAAACAGGATGAAGCACCAATGGAGTAGTGAGCCAGAGTCACGCTAAAGGCCTTTCACTGTATTAGTTTCAGCTAAGTTAATTTTTCTGTTAATGTGGCTAGGTGTATTTATTGTCTTGCTTTCTGAATAAGAATATAGCGATTTCTGTGAATAAGCATTGCATCTTCACCCAGTACAAGATTAACAACTACTCAAAATAAAAAAAGCACAAGTGGTTTAATTTTTTATGTACAGACCACCACTTTACTACAAGATTGCAATGTTCTTTTATATCACTGACATAATTTTACAAGTTAGTGATTAATTGACCCATTTTCACTTTTCACATTCTTGCAAACCTATGGGCTATATAAACCAAAGGAAATGGGCTGAGCAAATTAGTTTCTGATAGCCTTTGCTTGCTTTTATTTTTTTACATCTGTCCTCTCAGTATAATGTCCTTGTGTGTATATATTTGCTTTCTCTTGGAGAAATTGAATGTCAATCAATATATTCTGAACGTCTGTAAATTGGATTCCATCTGTTTGCCATGTGAGAACATGCAAAATATAGCTGATTGCATCTTTCACTGGAGAGTATTACTTAGGATTTTTTCTACTTCATATATCAGTTGTTTTGTAGCATTTGAAGTCCAGTGATTATGCGAATGCCAGGAGGCAAAAGAGACAAGAGACATTAGGGTAAGAATTTAGGCTGCATTCCGTTGTTACAGTCTTTCTGGAAACTAAATGCACAATTACTACCCAAAAATTTTGGTCTTCTGTTTTAGCAGAATTCTCATTCTAATTTAGCTAGATATGTGTGTAAGTATATGTTGATGTGTACCTTATGGGCTGATGCGCACGGGTTAATGAAGAGCGGTAAATGAAATCCTTTATTGTGTTTGATATAATGTCAGCATCCATTAGGGAAACTGGTGCTAGAAATGATTGCTAGACGATCGAGGCCAGAGGAGAGGTGCACTGTGTGTGTGTATGTTACTGCATGCTTGTGTGCACACCCCAGGGCACGGCAGAGGCACAGAGTGTGTTCTGTAATTATAAAATCATTAGCAGGTGTCCAGAGGAGATATGAATATGACTGTAATCTGTCCCCACCCATGATGGAGCGCTTGTCTCACACTCAAATGTCAACCTGCCTCAGCCACCACATTGAGAAAGCTCGCAGATATAAATTCAAAAGATCTGGTCCTGGAAACTATACTCCAATGTGTGACAGCATATTATCGATACCAATCTACAAGCCATTTTTCATTTGCTATTGTTGCCCAGGTCATTACTTGACAAATCACCTGTCAAAGACTCCGTCCCATAGACTGAAATTTTAAGCTTTAAATGTTTTGATCTTTATCCGAAAAAGTCTCATTCTCTTTAACCATGTAACTACAAGCAATAGGTGACTTTGAACAATCAAGTAGGAAGTATTACTAAATGGAAAATATTCTGGATTACAAAATATATTTTCCTCTGGACAAACTGGCAAAGTAAATGCTGGCAGCCAGGTATCAGGCCTGCCATAAAAACAAGCAGACATTGTAGACACTGGTGACGAGACAAAGTCACATTGTAATTTGGAGCAGAGGGGCGGTTTCTATGGCAACAGTAGGCATCTACCCTCTGTGCTGCTGCTTTTGGTGAAATCTGAAATTAGCAAGGGGAAGCTTGTATTGAGGAAAGAGAGAGGGGAAAAGATGAAGATAAAACATGGCAGGGAGTAAGAGGAGTGATAGAGCAAAAGTAGAAGAGAGCAGGCCGATTGAGATAAGGGTGAGGAAAGGAAAGGGGTAGGAGATGAGCAGGGGAAGATTGATGGAGGGGAGGGGCTGGAGATCGCCAACTGACCTCAGTGTTTGTCTCCCATTTGGAATTTGTTGGCCCGCTCTGAGTGATAGATTTAATTTACTGATAGCCTTTTGAGTCAGGGGGAATTTTTAAGACTTCTGCTTGTGCATTTGGCTTGAGCACGTTGAACCTTTGCAGATACACACTGCAAATGTGACACTGTGTATTCAAATGTCTTTTCACAATGTGTAAGGCTACTCTTAAGCAGGAGATCGAGCATTATATTTCTGTATGACCTTACGGTAAGGAGATGAGTGTAGGATAATTGCTGGAGTTGAGTTGAGTCGGATGTGTTTAACCCAGCCTCAGAGTCCATAGAGACCTGTGACCAGCCGCAGCAGATGGCCTCTCTACTCCACTGCTGCTCAGAGGGTTTTGGTGGGCTGTCAGCATTGAGCCATCTCATCTATACCCCAGATGTACCACCTCTGCACCAGGACTAGTTTTCAAGGATAAAATCTCTCCTTTAGATACGTGCATAGCTTGTAGTTCATACACGGGAAATGAACTGCGTGAAACGACCCTCTAAAGAGACTTCATACCACAAAAGGCCCCTGTGGTAACAATGAATTCAAATAATTCTCTGTGGTTCAATCAGAATATTCTTTATCCTTCAGCATTTGATGATCGTTATAGTGGATTGTTATTTGTAATAAATTACTGTAAAACAAAATACTAATGCCATAGTCCAGAAGGATTCAACAGATTAGGTACTCGTGCTGTAGCTGTTTTTACCCAGTATTTCATTTTTTTTAATGTACTATGTGTTTGAGTAACAGTGCTGGATGGTGTCCCATGAGTGTCAGAAACGGGGCGTTTACTTACAGGAAGCGGTCCTGAGTAATGAGTTGTAATGCTGCAGTGGAGAGGTAAACTGTTTAGAAGGAAGGGACAGGACTTGGCAGGACTGGGCTTCAGATCAATCCTCCTGGCAGACACAACACTGTCTCACTCACTCCATTTCTCCTTTCTCTCTGCAGAGGCATGGGCTATTTTTAGCAATTCTCTCCCCGCTACTCTGTTCTCTACCCCCCTTTCTCCTTTCTCTCAATTCATCCCTTCACAACGGCTCGACCTGAACTTCCATCCCTAACCTCTAACTTAACCCAGCATACTCCCAGAACACCCTGCTCTGATCCCTCCGCTCTTCTCTCCTTTCACCCTCACTCCTGATCTCTGTCAGAGCTGGGGGACAGAGGGAGTGCTGGTAAGTTGAGGAAACGTGTGTGCTCTGGGATGGTCTGCTCCACCTCTGTACTGGCTTTTCTCATCTCCAAATATTCTGTCTGCGCCCTGTGTTTAGTTTCAGTTCTATATTTGGTCATCAAAGAAAATCTTTTTTACGAAGTTATATGACACTCAGCTGATGACTGACCTGCTGATTATCAACTATTGACAGGTTTTTATGCTTGAAGACGCAGAGAGAAAGTTGAGAGCTAAGAGACACTTAAAGAATCTGTGCATGTACATAGAGCTGTTTTTATTGATTGGGTTAAAAAAATAATGAGAAAGAGATGAAAGAGAGAGAGAGATGAAACTCACGAAGACAATGAAATGATAGTCAGGAAGACACAAAGAAAACAAGTGTGAGTAATGTAAGACCATGCCTCAAAAAAGAATACTCTGTCTCTGTCATCAGTCTTCACGTGTCAGACCATAGCCATAGCGGCTCTCGTACTGAAGCAATGCAGTCACTGTGGTGCCCTTGAGAGCGCGTCCTCAGCCTGCGTCCTCATGATAATGAGGCAGGCCACACAGATGCTGCTCACTGCCTCAGCCTCTGACCACCCTCTTGCCTGCCTCAACGGGAGATAAGGATCCGAGCTCAAAGGAGATGGGGACATCTGGGAGGCTAAACTCTTGGGTGTGGGAATGTGTGAAGTGTTAAAATATGGTGGTACGTGAACGAATATTGAGCTGACGCTGGTAGCTAAAAACCCAAGTTATTAACTAGAATGAAACAGTGTAACACAGTGGCCTAATTTTTCATTTTTCTTCTTTACGTTTCTGCCCTCTTGTGAGAGTTATTTGCTTGGGCTGAAAACACAAGCAGCCGAGGCTGATAATTCTCCCACGGAGAGTCATCTTTGAGTTTATTCTGCTCTCAATGCCAACCATCTGAGCATATATCAGACTGCTTCACGAACACCAACAGTTTCCGCTGCACAAGAAAAGCTCCAAACTTGTGTTAAAAACACAAGCTCAAACATGTGCCACACATACCACATCTTATCTAAGAGTGCTCAGATGCATTACATTCGTCAGTATCTTCTCGCCTTATCATTAGTCATTCCACATCACACTACTCCTGTGTTCTGTGATGCTGATTATATTCTCATGCTGATCAGTGTGATTGAATATAACCATGACTCTCTCCAGCTTTCCACCACAGGTTGGGACCGATATAGGCACTGCTATATCTTCTCTCATCTCTCTTCCTACTTTTCTTTTCTATACAGGAGAATGCCATTTCATACTACGATTCCAAAGCGGATTCAGACTATGTGAGTACAGTGCGGACTGCCTCCCGCTCACCCGTCTGTCTGCCCTAACCCACCAAATCCTACACAATCCACTTCCTATCGTCCCCCTCTGCCATTTCCTGCAAGTCATCCCTAACCCTTCCCTTGGCCTTCTCAGTGTTGATGCGCTCCCTTCCCCCCGGTCATAGGATTCTGCTCAGTTTGTGTGCAAAAGTGAGGTGACACTGCAGTTTGGTGAGTTTTTATGACAGAGCACGGGCAGGCTGACATGCATGTGGCAGTGAGTTCAGTTCTCTCTTGATGTTATTTCCCCCAAACACAGCTGTGTCAGAGGCGAACATGAGCTACAGGGTGATTTATGTTCATTATGTCCAAGAATTATTTCCATCAAAACACGTCAGAGCAAAACACAGCCCAAAGTGCAGCTTCATACAGAAGCACTTCTCATGCACGCAATTCATGGCAAATAATGTTAAAGGCATGCAAAAAAATGTCAAACAGAGCAGGTAAGCTCCTCAAATCTTTGACATACACCACCTCTGGCTGCAAGAGTTCCTCCCAAGTTTAAACACTTAGAAGCCAAAGCTCCTGATTTATTAAGTTTCAAGGAGTCCAGGAAGCCCCTTTTGAATCACCAGAGCACAAAAAGATGGGAAAGGAGTGAGAAAATGAAGCGAAGCAGCAATAAATCACAGTGTGATTTTCTCTTTGTGCATGCCAATCTCATGATTAATGACACAGCACTTTCAGTCTGTCAGCTCATGTAATTGGAGAGCATCGGTCATCATTAATGTGGCACGCTGAGGCCACACTTCCGACATACTTCTGACCCTCACATCACCTACCCTAACCATCGGCAGAAGACGGGAGGGGGGTCATTCCTTTCTGAAATCCCACCTACCAGTGCTCCCCTAGATGCCTCGCCCGATGACAATTTTCAATAAAGTTCTGCCACTCGAGTAAAATTCTTTACTATTAGGAAGATGGCATACAAAAAATTATTTCAAGTTAAGGTAAGTCACTGGCAGGCTTTTTCCTTCTTGTACGTTGTAGCTTGTTAATTTCTCCACTTGTCACTGTGCCCTTGATGTGTTGAACGGTACGTGCTAACGCATGTCGACTGTTCATTCCAGTGTTGAAGGTGAAAACCTTTTATTTGCCATTTTCGGGTTTGCGCAACAACCTTCAAGCCTCCCTCTGCTGTGTTCAATTAGGTGTCTGCATATATTACATCTGACCTTAAAGATATTTTTTGCCATGGGTTAAAACATAATTATCTATGAAAATCTAAAATGTGTAAGTCTGTGTTTTAAAAATAAAAAAGGAACATTTGATTCTGCAAAGATAAATCAACACTTCCTGTTTGAAAATGAAAACATTCTACACGAGCCAACTTTGAATTATTTAAATTAGTCTGTATGGTTGGAAAATATTGTCAGTCCTGTCAGTCATATACTTGTAACACAACCATCAAATGTACGTAAAACATTTTTACGAGAGTGATTATCATACTGTTGATTTAAAATGGAGTCTTACTGCTTTTCAGCTGTTTCAAACTGAGAAGTTTCTGTAATATGTTAACCTAAATTTATCAGTGTTCCTATTCCTACAGAATAATCCTTTCATATTCTTTTGAGTGGCATGCTCTCTTTGACTTGAACACACTCGTGGTCACATGTGACATGTTTAAGGTTAGCCTCGGTCGGCTAAAGGTGGGAATGAAAAGAGGTATGGAAATGTCATCGCTGGCCTCTTCAGCCTTTAATTAAACCTAGAAAACGGGGAGATAAAATGAACAAATTGGGTAATGAATCGAGCAAAACAGGTGGTAGGTGGTTGAAGAAAATGAACCAATCAGTCTTTCCTGTGTGGATTTATTCAGCTTCTAATTACCTTGGTTAATTATGATTGGGCCCTTCTGGAGAAGGAAAAAACAGACTGTAGTACTGATCCTGTGAGAATTGGTCTGACACAGTGATGAACGGAAAAACTTAACCTCACATTTAAAGTCAACATCCTTAACCTAGATAGGGTCACTAATATATCAAGCTGTATTTCCTTTGACTCAGAACCAATAGCGTTTGTTCTTTTTGTAACGACTTTTAAAGCTAGCTATTAGACATCAATACTAATACAAGCTGAATAATCAAACATCTGACTTCAAGTAGTAAGCACCACTAAACCTGTAGAAATCTGTATTATAGTTTTGATTTAGAAAAGTTAATTAATAGGTTATAAACAGGTGTTGACTTTCTGTAGTTTCAGAATCAATGATTTACAAAGTGTCAAATCTAAATTGACCATTGCTAAAATCTGTGTTTCACATATTCAGTCACACATACTTGTAGCATATTGTAGCTTCTGATTCTGAACAAAACAAAAAATCCTTCCTTCTTTGGACTTGATCTGTGTTACATTATTTAACATCCATTTTAGGGCTAGACAAGATAAACTGACCACAATTTTATGTGGTTAGTGTAAGAAATCTCTTTTAATGTCCAACCAAAAATTAATTTTTTGAAAATGTAATGGTGTTTAAACACAGTTATGTATAAAATGCTAATTTAGCCCCATTAGATATTATACAGGTTGCAGAGACTCACCCGATGGCTGGTTTCTGTCACAACACAGTGTTTATTTCAGTGGGGCTTTAGTCCAACACACCCCTGGCTCATCCCTACACCAGCTTGTAATTGCATTTTAATAGTCAATTAAACTCAGCCCATCAATCATTTTCTGCAGTGGACATGGGTTTTTGATTGAGATTATTTAAAACAAACAGTTTTCAGTCATGTCACATCTAATTAACCCAAAGGGCTTTATCCAAAAAGAAAGGGCATAATTGCAATATTTTATTGTGACCTTTTTAAATGTTTGAATTTGAAGAAATGACATGATATGGGGATTTTGTTACTAAATATTTTGTGAATAAATAAAAGGAGTATTGATACATCGATATGATGTTTAATAAAGACTTAACTTTCATTATAATTTCTGAAGTTGAGAAATACAATTTATCGTAAACCTTTTTCCAACTTTACAGTAATTTAATCCTGACTGAACAGATGCAGATTTTACTATGTAGATTACGTCTCAAGAATGAAACCTTAAATGTCTTTTTTTTTCATTTTCATATTCTTAATATTTTGACTTTTTGTGATATCTAGCTCTTCCTTAACACTGTATCTGCATTAGTTTTTTCTAACTTGTCATAGTGGATAACCTGAAAAAGCAAAAGTGTGTATACACGTTTTGTAGCCTACACGTTTTAATGGTCGAGTAGAATAGTTTGACTTATGTTTAGACCAATACAAGTGTCCATTATGATTGTATATGCTTAATACACATGTTTTGTTGATATGGGTGGGAAACTAGACTGATGAAGTGGTTTAGTGTCAATTATTAGTGGGGTTAATTCATCTGGCAGCTCATATGTCTCTGATATTCATCACAGCTACTAATGAGTGTGTATCTCTGTTTGGTGTCTACTTTGATACCTGCTGTTGTTCTCTGATGAGAAAGAGAGAACAAAAGCATCTAGCATCTATCTGGCAGATAGCAGGTGGAGTGAATGCATTTATGGAGTTTTACACTGTTCAAATTCTGGAAAACTGGTAGAAAAATAATATAGTTAATGACAACATTATAATATAATATATGAACCAGGGAATTGGTCGTACGAGAATACAGTTAGAGAGTTTAATGTTAACCCTGCTATTTCTACGATAACAAATGGGTGTGTGTTTGCATGCGTGTTTGTTTCAGCAGACGGAGGACGGAGAAGAGGAACTCCCAATCGAGACCTCGACCTCTTTGGAGCTGGAGTTTGTGGATGATCCCAATTTTAAGAATAAGGTCAACTATTCATCCAGCGCGGTGCAGATTCCTACAGACATATACAAAGGCTGTAAGTATCCATTTCATAAGGTCAACGTTGTTGTAATGCGTACTTTCTCGCTTGGAAGAAAGTGATAAAATGGTAGAAAAGCAGCGATTTAAAGAGATGGACCAGAGGGCGTTTTGGTTTTAATACAGTTGCTGGATGACACACCTGTCTGTCTCAGTAATTCAACTTTTTCTTCTTTGTACATAAGCTCGCGCTCTCCCATCAGATCTGAATCACATTTATTTATTTTCCATGTGAGCATGGTCTGCCCTTCTTTTTGTCGCCGGCAGACATAAAACCCTGCCTCGTCCACTGTTGCCGAATGTACAAAAGGGAACACATGTACGTTCTGGGATTCATTTCTTTCGGCATGCTCCTTCTGTTATCCACCCCTAATCTTTTGGACACTCTCTGTCGGGCTCCTCAAGCTCTCAGAAATCAGAGCATGTGCAGATAGACAGGGATTTTTACTGTGACCATTTTTTCTCTTTCGTATTGTCTTGCACTTTCGCTTTCCTTGTTGATCCGGCTGTGTATTGCACCTGTCTGTAACAGTGCCCTCCAGCTGTGTCTCCAGACAGGCCTTGTCAGAATTAGACACTCACGGTTCAGGAGGACATGTCAAAGGCCAAAGCTAACTCACAATAGAGCAATCAGGCCTGTACATTGTTCCTGGAGCCCTTTTGTGGCTGCCCTGGTTCCCCGGTCTGAGGTTATGAGTCATAGAATAATGGACTCTTGATTGAGCCTGGTGGAGACTCGAGGAGTCGAGTGGCACCGCGCAAGGAGCAGTTTTTCCCTTCTGCTCTGTGGCAAATGTTTACGATTGATGTGGTTTAGTTAGCCCCCATTGCGTGGTCTGCTGTGCTGAGATTGTCAACTGCACATTTTGTGCAAAAGCCATTATGAACAACTTTGCTGTGTTTAGATTGTTGATAAGTAGACAGTTGAAAGTTGTATTGCTGCAAAAATGCAAAGTAATTCTTGAAGATGATTTGTGTCCAAACAACTTTCAAGACACAAACATATGATTTTATATAGTCCATAAATGAATGTCATGGTTTATGTTCCCTTTAAACCATGTATTCCAATTGACCTGTGATATCGTTGCAAACATTTTTGGTAAAGGGTAGATGTGCAAGTTTTAATGAAAATGTATTTTGGTAAATTCTTTGGAATGAGATGCAGTATTGTTTGGATTAGGGTTTGCTAATGCCTTTATTAATATGGCATTTATAAGCTGTGTCTAAAAACTGAAATGAAATGCCATACTGGTGCAGTCTCTTAACATCGTGCTGCCATGAAAAACACCAACTAGAACTTTATCATGGCAAAGGAGGGGGGAGGGTAATAGATAATAACTTTGTATTGATACTTCACCTAGGAAATTAAGTTATGCCGTCTATCTTTTTTCTTTGAACTAGACTTGTTACACAACACAGTGTGCAACATGATCTGTTTTCCAGAGGTATGTTCTGTGGACATGATACCTAACCCCTCAGAGTTGCTGCCACTGTTAGATCCAGATATTAGTGTTTTAGCCTAAAATATAAAGCTTGATTTTCCAGTTGTCATTAAGTGTGTGTCATGGGACTGTGTTTGCATCCAGGTTATTATATCAAGGTTTTCCATCAGTAACTCCCCAGACTCACCATGACTCCATTTAGGTGGATTTCCATTACAAATGAGGTCCTAACATGTTACGTCATTTATATACAACACAAACCTAGACAACAATGAAGGACATCGAGACAGAGATATACCAGTTGAACCTCGGTGTTGGATTCAAACGTTGGTGTGTGTATTATGCAATTACAACGTCTATTAACAGAAATTATGAAATTGGACGTCTGGTTTTGCATCCTTTTTAAAATTGGCAGGGTTCAGGTGAAGGATTCATTTCCATGACTCATCTAGTCATGTGACTCCCTGGCCAATCAAGGGTAGCCTGCCGTCAGCCAGACTCAGCCCGCTTGAGTAGGGTCTAAATTTGTTGCTGTTAGGAGATGCCAGCTCCTAATGGAAATGCAAAACAACCAAGGAGAGTTGCACCGAGCTGGTCTGAGTAAGTATGCCCAATAGAGAAGGATTACAATCAATATGTAGTGCTCTTCTCTAAGCCCAGGAACAGGAAACACTAAGGTACCCTGGAGAGCATGTCTGAGGAAACAAATGTGGGCAGATTGATGTCCACTGGGTCTTAAGCGATCTAGATCAACAGTATATCAGTGGATTTAGGACGATCGCAGGAGAGGCAGTGTGAGTGGGCAGATTCAGAGCTTTTCTCAGGGTTAGACCAAAGGAAAACCTGTTGAAAGAATCCCACACAATCCAAATTGCAGCATAGTCTCCAACAATACTGTGAGAGTCTGTGCTATTTGTTACACTTGTGCTCTGGTTACTGGATGTAGCTCACTTTGATTCGTGTCTGCTGTGTCTGCGCTAAATCATTTAAGGACGGACAGAAAGAAAACAGTTAGACACTAGACACTTCAATAACAGAAACAATTTTGTGCAAATGTTTTTTTTCCAGATTATTTTCCTTGTGATCCTTTCAGGAGCTAAATGAGGCGATGTGTGTGTTGAGATGTTTGATTCGTCTGCAAGGCCTCGTGTCCATTTATCGAGATAGAGAGTGTTCCCTGAGTGCAGTAATGAACCATTTTATGATTCATTATCCCACTGCTGATTCCTGCTTCAAAGTCTACAAAGTTTCTAATTAGCTCAGGTCAAACATTCATACAATTTTCATCTAATTATGATTGCTTATTACAAAATGAACATAACACAGCCACAGGGGATTAAAACGGGGGATTAAATGGGCGTAGGTGGTTTTGTCTATGAAGGAATAGGTTTTATTCTCATAGGTAATTTTAGAATCAGGGATAATTGTAGAGGAGGAACACTGAGAATATAATCTCGAACATAATCTAAAAAGTGTATGTGGGAGAATGCCCTTTTGTCAAGTCAGTATAATCTTCCTTGTAAGAACTTCACACTACAGATGGAAGATAGGAATCCAAACTGGGCTATTTCACCACTGCATTTATATCATGACAAGGTGAAAATATAGAGCACTGTAAATCAGCTATCAGTGAAAAGGGAGCAGTTATGTGCATATAGTGGATTCCGTTGGGGGACATTTTAATGTTTGTGTGAGAATATGCAGCCACTGTTCTCAGTAGGAAATAAAGGAAACTGACATCAAATGTGGGAAGTTCTTTCATTAAATGTGAAGTTTAAATCCACAGCATGGGGCTTTTTCTCCACCAGCCTAACGTCATGTTGTCAGTTTGCTATTGTTGTCAGACACAGTGAGGAACTTGGTTATCAGAACTGAATGGCTACAACTGTTTAACTGCATATGCAGATGAAAGAGTAGAGCTTACTTTTTTTTTTTGTGTATTTGGGCGATTAACCCACACAACCACCCATCCTGCGTACACTTACTGACATACAGCAGCTTTCGATTCCCTGCTTCCTTTACTTGGCAGTCCAGCCACTCCTCATTTCAGACTGATCAGATTCGCTTCCCATTTTTCATTTTCCACTAAAGCCTTTTCTATGTATTGCGAGACTCTACATTCGTATGGAACTGAAAGATGCTCCAGCAGCTGAATTTCTTTTATCCACCAAGAAGCGTCTGGAGAAAAGCTGTTAGCAGAACTCTGACAGTATCACATTTAGAAGTGATAGGTCTAGGTTGTTAGGTAACAGTTGATTGCCTCCACAGTCAGCAGATATGCAAAATACTACCTGTCTTTATTACTTTATTAGATTCTGAACTCCTAGGTGAAATAAATGGCTTTTCACCTGATAAATGCCCCAGTAGTCAATAAGCTAGTTGCCTTTTTTTCTCCCCCCACACCCTGTGCTATGGAAGTCACATCCAGTAGATCTTTTTGAAAAGCAGGTTTTTGAGATTGAACACAAATAGGTTTTTGATCATTCCTGGAGCCGTGTTCTCATGTGATAGAAAATACATGAAAATGCTTGTTTAGCACCTGTCAAAGACGAAGGCATTAACTGGAGAAAAAAATAGCTTTGGGAGATGATCTGTGGTAATGCCAAGTACAAACGATGTGTAGACATTATTTACAAAACTTAATTTAACAACAGAGAAAACGAATCCTGAACTCACTGTAAAAAACAACAGTAAGCTCACGCTCCTAGCACTTTAGAGCAACAGATACAGCAGATAGTCAACGCACGGCTGTAGGAGCTTTGAAAAGAAATGAAAGATTTGCATCTTCTTGGTTTCACCTGATTCAAACAGCCTCTGTTCTATCTCATCTTGTTTAAAATGGATTTTAAAATCTTCTCTGCCTCTGGATTGAAAAGGAAACTTTTTATAGATGGACGCAGATCTTGTCACTAAAACAAACACCAAATGATATTTGTGTGCACATATACAGTATATACACACATAAATACACGTATATACATACATGTATTCTTTGGCCATGTTGAATGTGCATCTTTAACACTGAAACTCCACATTTGTCAGCTAAATTATTATAAACTTCTGAAACTTTGAGTAGGTGTTGAGCAAGGTGTTGTTCTCTCAGTCAGTGAGTGTTAGTTGTGTCCATTTGTACATGTGTAGTCTGAATTAGTTTTTACACGTTCCCATCAGCAGAGGAAGCCTCACTGTCAACCAACTCACACCATACAGGAGATCAACTCAGCCCCTCTAAACATCAAACCAGATTTAAAAGTGTGTGTGTGTAGGGTGGGAGAGCAAAAGTGATTTGTGAAAGTAGAGAAAGTGGGAAAAATAGAGAGGGATTTAAAGTTAAACCAAAGAAGAAGAAGAATGGCATAAACACTGCGGGCTGCACTTCTTTCATTCTCGACTTTAAAGACTCCATCTCTCTCTTTTGCTCCTCACACATCCAACCCCTATAGTGTGCGCCCAGTGAAGGGGCACTATCATTTACCCACACACTAATTAGAACAGTCAGCACAGCAAACTCCACTTCACTCACCACCAAGCTCACAAATTACATTTTGTGTGTTTG